TGTGTGTATGTGTGTATGCGTGTTCATCTAGGAAACTGCTCTATAATTTTCTTTTTTGTTGCATCCTTATCTGGTTCAATATCAGGGTAATACTGACTTTACAGAATGACTTTGGAAGCATTCCTTCCATTTTTATTGTATGGATAGTTTGAGGAGCATTGGTGTTAGTTCTTTAAAGGTCTGGTAGAATTCAGCAATGTATTTGTCTGGCCCTGGGCTTTTCTTTATTGGGAGACTATTACTGCTCCAATTGCATTGCTCATTGTAGATCTGTTTAGGGTTTTATGTTCTCTTTGTTCAGTTTTAGTAGTTCATATGTATCTAAAAATTTATCCATTTCTTCTACATTCTCCAACTTATTATACGATAATTTCTCAAAATATTCCCTATTGATCCTCAAGTGTCAGTGATATCTGTTGTAATATTCCTTTTTTCATTTCTAACTTAATTATTGATTTTCATCTTCTCTCTCTCTCTTGTGGTTAGTTCAGTTAAGGGTTGTCAATCTTGTTCATCTTTCCAAAAACTAACTGTTTCATTGACCTTTTATATTGTTTTTTTATTTTCTACTTCATTAATTTCTGCCATGCTGTTTATTATTTCTTTCCATTTACTTATTTTGGGTTTGACTTGTTCTTGTGTTTCTAAGACCTTGATGTGGATCATTAGGTTATGTATTTGATATCTCTCTGATTTTTAAATGCAGGCACACATAGCTATAAACTTCCCTTTTAGAACTGTCTTAACTGTATCCCACAGAATCTGGTAAGTTGTGGTTTCATTTTTGTTTGATTGTAGACATTTTGAAATTTTCTCCTTGACTTCATTATCATTTATGTCTTCAATGATCCACTAATCACTTAAACATGCATTGTTCAATATATATTTATACATTTTCTGTAGTTTCTCGTTATTAATTTCTAGTTTTATTCCATTGTGATTTGACAGGATTCAAGAAATTGTTTAAATTTCTTGTTAAGAAATTTGTTAATTTGTTCAGACTTGCTTTATGTGTTGTTTGGAGACTGTTTCATGGGCTGCTGAGAAGAATGTGTATTCCTATGCAGTTGGATGGAATGTTCTTTAGATGTCTGATAAATCCATTTGCTCTATGTCAGTTTAACTCTGAAGTTTCTTTGTTGTCAAAGAGAAATAAAGGCCTTCCACAATAAGTGAAAACTACATAAATTTATGATCACTAAACCAGTATTACAGAAGATACTTAAAAGAAATTATACCTAGAAGAGGAGGAAAGAAAAACATACAATTGTGAGAGTTTAGGAAAGAATAAATATCACTAGAATAATGAACAAGTGAAAAATAGGTAAGAATCAACAATTATTAAGTCAGTAAATAAGCAAACAATTAATTGAAAGAGGGAGAAATTAGTATATATCTTTCAGTAATAAGCTAAATGTAAATGGTCTTAACTTTCTAATTAAATACACGGACTGGCTGGATGGACTGAAAAACAAAATCCAAATGGTTACTGTCTACAAGAAACTTACCTTAGTGGCAAAGCCACATGCAGACTGAAATGGAAAGGATGAAAAGTGATATTTTGCAAGCAAAGGGAATCTGAAAGCAAGCTGGAATAACTATATTCATATCTAACAAGCAGAGAAAAACTAATCAGAAGGTGTAAGAAAATCTACACATATTAATAAAGGAAACAATCCATCAAGAATACAGAACAATTCTAAACATATATGCAACAAATGTTTGTATGCCCTATTTCATAAAACAAACACTAGTGGATACAAAAGGACAGATGGGTATATGATAATAGTGGGCAGCTTTAATGCCTCACTCTCAACAACAGATAGATCATCCAGACCAAAAATCAGCAATAGTAAAAAAGGTCTGGGCAATTTTTCATGGTCCCTTCTGTGGCTTTGTTTGCAGGAGGACCAAAAAGTGGCATTAGGACTGAAAATATTCCCATAATATTAAGAAAAGTCTGCTATCACAGTTACAGAGCACTCAAATGAATCCAAATTATGAAAAGCAGAACACGTCCAGCATCTTGTGTTGCTAGATAAGCAACAAAGATGAGACACCTGCTGTATTATGTAAATACCAGATTTAGAAATATTACAGTCTCTTATAACAAAAGTTATGTCTTTATAATGTAGGAGGAAATATTATATAGAATATAAGGCTAATATAATTGCCTATCCAATTCTGAATGTAGATGATATCTTGGTGATTTTTTAAGTTTAGAAATAGTTTAAGATTTAGCCAAAGACCTATAAATGCCTTCATTTGTTATAGAAGCATAGTTGATCCTAAGCAGGTACATGAAAATGTTTAAGCAATGAAAGGTTAAAATAGAGAAATTAACGAGAGAATGAAAGGTTGGTAGAAAATATCATTAAGACAATGTAGAGAATTAAGTATTTTCACATTTACCCAAAATAGCATTCAATTTTTCCATCAACTTATTTAGATTCACTTTCCCTTCAGTTGTAAGACAAGACAAAATTTAGACAATGATAAAGTAAACTCGCAAAAAAGCATAAAGCATTAAGAGCTTAAACTATGAAGCACAGCATTATACTTGTCCTCATACTTGTCCATTCATGGACGTGAATGAGTAACTCCATTAACCACAATAGAGACTAAAATTACTTGGACCACAAAGTCTATCTTAGATAAAATGCTCTCTTGAGTCTTTTGGGTGCATTCTGTTTAAATTCCATGTTTCTCTTGGAATGGCTGATAACACAGAATGTTACACATTGAAGACCACTGCTTATGGCATTATGTTTTTTCCTATAATTGGAGAAAGACGAGGAATGAATCCCAGGAAAAGGAGCAATGACAAGTATACTATGTGATGAACTAAACACTTTCAATCTTACTTGAGGGGGAAAAAATGGAAGGAGTAGAAAATGAGACAAAGAAGGTGATTTGGCTTAGCATAGTACCCTGTACTGATTGGCAGTTAGAACTCAGTCTTCAGTTTGCTTGGATTTGGGAATACAGCAGTGAAAAAAAGATAAAAATCTCTGCTTGTGTTTCTATTAATTTGTTTTGTTCATGACTCTATCACCAAGACCGAAGCGGAAACTGGTATGTATTTGAGTGTTTAATACATAGCTGTTCCTTAGAAATCTGTATCAGCCATAAGTAACAACAGATACTGTGAATAAATTAATTGAATGAGTAATTCATTAAAATGCCTTGCAATGTGCCTGGTATATTATAAAACTCAATGCCTGCAAACTCTGATGAGTCTTTGAAGGGTTTTTAATTGAGGAATGACAACATTAGAGTTTCACCTTAGCTAAATCATTCAGGCTAGTTTATGTAGGATGAATTTAAAGCAACAATATAGCTGTTATATCAGTCAGGAGACTTTTGTAGGTAGTCTCACCAGGAATGATAAGGGATATTTGAGATATTTTTAAGAGGACAAATGAGGGGCATTGGTCAAAGATGACTTGCGGACTATTGTATAAGTAACTGTAGGTGGATAATGATGGCACAGAAATAGAAAAAAGGCAAGAATTAGGAGTGAATTATTTTACTTTCTATATGCTAAGTGTGGATTGCTAGTAAAAAGTGTGTGTTAACAGGGAGTTACTGATACAGGAGATCTCAACTGCCATCTTTTTGACCAATCTGATGGTCTGAACTTTATTTGTCATTCCTACTGTGAATTCCTACATTTAGACTGATGCTGCTGGCACACCAAACTTCCACAGCTAGTAAGCTACACTTTGAGTAATGTAGTACATTTATATTCTTGTGGGTGTTTAAGTCTGTTTCCAGATTTTAATAGTTTTACTCTTTATTAAATTGATATTTAAATTTTCTTTTAGTGTATACTAATTATACAAAGGGGTTTCATTGTGACATTTCCATAGATGAATACAATGCACTTTAATTGAATTCATTGCCTCTATTACTTTTTCTTATTAAATAAATATTTTAATCATTATATAAATTGACAAACTGTAAATGAAAAAGGGAGTTTTTCCCATAAAACAAATTTGAATGATGTAGAAATTTCTGGTAAAAGCAAATTGCTAAAAGAGTTCTATTAAATTTGGGATGGATATGATAATTGTAAAATGATGGGAGAAATAAAAATTCAGATTCTAAGTGACATTTTGAATTAATTTTTAAAAAACTTCTTTGTTCCCCTTAAAAGAAACTGATATTGAGAATATAGATGATAAATAAGTATGTTTATGCAAGAAACTCTTCAAAGAGCATGATTACACTAAATAAAAATGGCTCTGGTCCTGTTTTTTTCATTCAAGTAAAATGTTTAAGGTACATACACTATCTCATTTTTATGCCTCCTTACTTTATCTGGGTTTCTACATTATCTAACCAACTACTTATATCAGCCATGTTAGATAAAAAGACTTTACTCTTCTATACTGAAACCCATCAGATACAAACAGCTTTGAGATAAAAGATTTGAAATATTAAAATACAGTATATAGGTAAACGAGCTGATCAAGGAGAAGCGTGATTGTGGAAAGAAATGTATGCTGAAAATAACACCATTATATTACTATCATTTAAACCAATTTTTTTTCAAAACTTCTGACTGTAAGTCACACTAAGAATTTTGAACATACCATAGCACATGCATGAACACACACACACACACTCCCCGATAAGGTTTCCTGAAACAGTAACTGGCTTTACTATGTTACATATGCGCTGACATTTTCTATTTCGTTCTATATTATTCCTTTAAAAATATGTACCCCACTGGTTTGAGGTGAAGAAGAGAAATTTCTTTTCAAAATGAGCCTTAGGGGACTGGGAGTTGTGGTACATGCTATAATCCTAGCCATGAGAGAGGTGGTCCAGGATGGCCCTGGCAGAAGGCACAAGACCCTTATTAAAAAACAAACTAAAGCAAAAAGGGCTTAGGGTGTGGCTCAAGTTGTAGAGTGCTTGCCTAGCAAGCACAAGGTTCTGAGTTCAAACCCCAGTATCGCAAAAAAAAAAAAAAATCTTAGGAAAGGCAGAGAAGAAGATAATTCTGGAGAGTATGAATTTATATACTTGAGAATACAGAGTAGTGATGAAAGGAAAATATTATTGAAGGGGTCAGAAGGCTCAAGTAAGAAAAAGAGGAATGGTGTACATTGGATTTGTCTGAGTATCTTTTAATGGAGTGGTAGTGGATGTGGGAACCAGATGCTTTGGAAGACATAGATACAACTCCCCCTTCTTGTAAACTTTCCCTTCTGCTTTGAATTCTACTTTCTGATTATTGTCTGGTTTCACAAAGTCTTGCCTTTATTTTATGCAGTGCTTAGTATCCATAGGGAAAGAAATTGGATTTTAGGTTAATGGTGGAAAAAAAAAGGACAAAGTTTCTTCTCTTACACTAAGACTAAGCTCTTCTTTGGAAAATATTTTGTATTTTGACCCTTTGGTTGCAGAAATTCCTATTTTCAAGTCTAATAGAGTAAGTACCCCTTAAAAACTACAGGAGTGGTCACAGTGCTCATCATTATCTGGCCATTAGTTTTTCTGTTAGATCCATGAATTCTTTTTCTGTGATCTTGATTCCCATGTTTTCTAAAAGTGTATCTAGCTTATCCACATCACATCACCTTCCAAGTAAGGGACAGGAAAAAGAAGTATAGTAAAATGGAACTATTCTAAAATTGGACTATGTATTTATGGTGCTATATTATTTCTCTTCTTTAATGATGAGCATGTATTTTTTATAATTAAAAATCATTCACTTCTTAGCATTATTGTTAAGATTTAAAGACAAATACCAAAACTCCAGTCATCTCAATAAACAAAAGAATAAAAATTAGAATCAATTTCCTTAAATCTTATATTGGGAACAAGTCTACCAAATGAAATATTCTTAAAGAAGGTTGAGTTGAATGACATTCTGCAAAACGGGTTATTTTTGTAGCCTGTACTCGTAAATAATTTATCTCTGCTTTTGGTTGAAATCCTTATGTAAAAGTCTTCACTCTTCATCTCTTGCTTTCTAGTTAATTTTTTTTTCCTTTAGGATTGAGTAAGGAAGCCTAACACTTGCTGCCAATCACAGTACAGGAAATGATTAGGCAGAGTACAGATCTACTTTAGCATCAATAAAGACTCAGTAATAAAAGACAGGAGGATTCTTATTTTCACAGTACAAATAAAGGTCTTAAAAAACCATTTTCATTTTGCCTCTTACTCACATTTTAGAGAATCTATGCCCTTCATCAACCTTTTCTGACACACTTTTCCATCATCTATAAAAAATGGGATATTTTGGAAACGGTCAAAAGATAATACATTATTTCTTAATTTCAGAGAATTTAAGTCTCTGCCTAATGAACATTTTAAAAGCAGATAATACACAGATTAAAATGGTCACTCTCAATGGTACATGAGTGAAATTCAAATCATAACCACCCTCCTTGGCTTTTTTTTTTTTTTTTTTGTATTGTGAATGTAGAGAAAATAATACTTTACTCCAGCTTGTGGTAGTTAAAATTACAACAACTTTTCTGGAAATAAATTCAATAAAATAAGTAAAAGAATTAAATTTGAGAATGTTTATAAAGATTTATCCACAAGTTTGTAAGATAAAAAAGGACAAGTATTTGTAGACAGAAGACTGGAAATATGTATCTCAAGATTTTGACGGTAGGTATTGCTATGTGGTAGGACTAGAGATCACTTTTTATTTTTGCTCATCTGTATTATCAAAGTTTTCTATAATGAATACACAAGTTAACATTGTGAAGAGATGAGTTATAAATAAGTTAATATACATAAATATCATCTATCTATCACCTACTCATCACTTAACAGTACTAAAAACAAACACACAAAAATATTGACAGTGGTTATCTTTTGGTTATGGAATTGAAAGCATTTTTATTTTCCTGAATTTTAGTTTTATTTCCTCTAATGATGAAGCTAAGAAATGCAGCCATTTTTTCAATGCACAAAATTATTGTTTTTTTGGAAAACTATATATTCTATTGTGAAGAAACTCATACTGCTACATCTTTTTATTGCTTTTCTACTTTTGCTTCTCTCTCTTTCTTGTTGTGTTTGCTTTTTATTCTATTTTTACAAATCAATCAGCCTAAAAATGTGAATAACGAATTTTAACTTTGATAGTAACTGACAGCTGAAAGATTTGATGATTTTTAAGCTAAAATCTAGGAGATGAAACTTTCCCTACAATAACATTAGCTTGAAACAATTTTTGAGCAATTTTAGTTTATTTTAGAATTTCACATAGTCACAAAACCAGGCTACCTAAAAATCCAGATGATATTCGTAAGACTTACCATTAACTCTCAATGTCTTTGCAAGTTCAAGTATTCACTAGCAGTGAGCTCAATTCCCAAATTGTCCAAAATACTTTTAAGCTTATTTGTATCAACTTTGTGCCTTTGAAAGGAAGAAAAAAATGGTTGACACATGGCAATTTTAGGACATTAAAACGACCTGAAATATAAAGAAGTTGGCCCATATAATGCCACCCTCATTTTCCCATATTCTCACACATTCCCTAGTGTTGAAGGATGAGTCAGAGAAAACTTATTTCTTGATTCATCATGAAAAGGGAGCGTGGTCTCCTCAGTCTGCAAGACATCCTCACATTGAAGAAAATCACAGTAACTGATCAGCCAAAAAGTGAAGTTTATCTAGTCTTTTTTCCTTAATGCTTTAACATGTGATTATTATTTGAAGCAATGCTATTAATTTAATCCTTTAAAATATTCATCTTCTTATTTGTTATCTGCACCTAGGTTCTGACTATTTAAACAAGAGTTAAGCAATTTAAAAGCTCACAAGGGCTTGCAGTAGAGGAAAGGAATGAAATTTGCTGAAAAGTTGGATGTAAGTATGTCAATATAAATATGTAAAATGTTAGCATTAATAAATTTGTGATCTAATACTGGGAAAACATCATGCAAAAAACAAGCTAGGATTTGACTAAAAATGTTTTACTAAACTTTTATGTATAAAAGTGATCATTTCACTCATCAATTTTTTCAGATTAACCTTACCATTAGCTGTAAGACATAGAACAAATTGGTTAGAAATGTGACAGTAAGATTACGAAAATGATGCTGTACAAAGCAGAGGAATTTAGCAGTGTTTATTTGCTCTAGAAAATTTAACTTTTTGCTACACCCTTCATAAGAAGAAAGAAGACAAAAGATGAAATTTCAAATGATAATAAACACAAACAACAAACATATATCTGTGATGGGATTGGTATCCAGAATACATAAGAGCTTACAGAATGCAATAAAAGATAAACGACCCAAAGCAGGCAAAAAGTTTTATCAGAAACTTTATAAAAGACATACAAATGCCTAATAAGTACTGGTAAAAGTACACATCACTAGCCATTAGGGAAATGTGAATTAAGATCATTTTGAGATACTGTCAGAAGGACTGAAATGAAATACTGGTAACAGGGCTGGGGATGTGGCTCAGTGGTAGAGTGCTTGCCTAGCGTGTGTGAGACACTGGTTTGATTCCTAGTACCACAGAAATCAACCAACCAATCAATCAATCAATATTGATAACAATAAATATTGATAAAAAGTGAATCTAATAGAACTTTTAGACATTATTGGTAGGAATATAAAATGGTGCATCCACTTTGGAAAAATATGTGGCAATTGCTTATAAAACTAAAGACTATGATGCAGTATTTCCTCCTATTTACCCTTTACTCCTAGATATTTGCCGAATAGAAAACACATGTCAACATATACTTGAATACAGTGTTTATAGCAGTTTTATTCATAATAGTAAAAAACTAGAAGAATTCTGTCCAATGACAGAAGAGATAAACATTCAGGGGTTTATTTATTTATTTATTGATATTTACAGCACCTTTATTCATGATTGTCCAACTTGGAAGCCAAACAGGTAAAGGATAAATAACCTGTACAACCAGGCAGTGGAATATTAGTCAACCCCAAACTGAAATTAGCCATCAAGCCATGAAAAGACAAGGAGGGAACTTAAATGTGTATTGCTAAGTAAAAAAAGCCAATCAGGGAAGGCTCTGTGCTGTGTGACTCCACGTGTATGACATTCTGGAAAAGGCAGAACTATGGAGAAAGTAAGGGATCAGTGGTTGCTGAGGGTTGGGGACAGTAGATGAAAAGGGGAAGCCTGGGGGAGTTCAGGGCAATGAAGTTATTCTGTGTGCTACTCCAGTGGTGGAGACAGATCATTGTGAATCTGCCCACACCCAGAGAGTATATAGGAAGAGCAGGCCATGAGGGAAAAGGTAGACTCTAAGTACTGTAGGTTCTTTAGCAGCAACAGCACGCTCTGCTGCTGGGTGTTGAGGGGGGTGGGCAGGAGATACATGGGAACTTTATTTTCTGTTCTATTTTGCTGTGAACCTAAACTGCTCTGAAAAGTAAAGCTGATTAATTTTAAAAAGGAGGCCAGGTGTAGTGGCTCACCTGTAATCCTAGGTACTCAGAAGATGGAGACTGGGAGGATGGCAGTTTGAGGCCAGCCAAAGGGTAGGAGAGAATTAACATGCAGATACAGATTCACAGATACAGGTGTATGTGGTGGGCTATATTGAGGAGGGAAGCAGAGGGCACTTATAACTGTGAAAGGAGGCCCAACTTCTTAAAAGAAGAGTAAGACCAGCTGCATGTGACTATAAGCAGGGGACTGGGACAGAGACTGGCATGGCCAGAGCACCAGGATTACTCAGTGCCTGGCCTTGCTCACCAGTATAGATTATTTTGATCTGAATGCTTTCTGTATCCTCAGAGTCCCAGTGAAACTTGGTGGAAAGGCAAGTGCTGCTTGGGGATTTGCCATCCCACACCCTAACTACAACACCTCTGGGTTAGGGTGCATACAGCTGGATGGTCCTTTGGCACAGGTGGTGGGAGCAGCTTGAAGAAAGCTCCTGAACTTGCTGCTTTGCTGGGCATATGCACGGAAAACACTGGCAAGAATTTAGCCCAGCAGCAGTCAGAGTAGCATGCTGCTCATAAGAGAAAGGCAGGGCTGGGCTCAGCCTGCAAAATTCCCTTTCCAATCTAACCTATTTGGGCTTATGAGAGAAAACAACTAGATGCTCCTAACCCTAAAATCAAGTAAACTGTAAAAATAGTAAGCCTTGAAAAAAACACAAAGCATCTCCACCCTCAATCCTCAACAAGGAAGAAATATTGACTGTTTTCTTTATTGTAATGTTCTGTCTTGCTTTGTCTTTGTTTTACTGTGTTTTTCCTCACTATTATTTCTTGTCTCTTTCACCACTCACACGTATGTGTACTTTCCTTCTCTTTTCTATCTTGCTTCTCTCTTTTTTTCCCTTTCCCCATATCCCTTTGTTTTTGTTTCTTGATTACTGGTATTTTACCTTTACTAATTTTTAAATTCCTAATTTATTATATAAGTATCTTTGCTTTTTTTCTTTTCTTTCCTTTAGGGATGTAGTTGAGGTTTCCATTTTTTTTTCTACATTTGGAAATCGGGTTTGTTTTTGAACAGTTGTTACTAGGGCCTTCTTTTTCCCCTCTGAGTGTTAGTGGGGACTGAGACCTCAAAAGAAGACTGCATACTAGAAAGACCCCCATATAGATTGAATAGCAGTATCCACCCCAAACTGCAGTGTAGAAACACAAGAATTATAAAAAAGCAAGGCAATATTATTCCTTCCAAAGTTCAGTATAACTCCTCAATAAGCAAATCCAAAGATACTCAAATGGTTGAAATGCCAAAGAAATGAAAAATCTTGTTTTAAAAATTATCAATGACCTCCTAATAACATTTTATTCATAAAAAATACATTAGTTGATTACAACAAAATCAGAATTATATATAGTTTGTAACTTCTCTCTCACCAGTAATAGCTTCTACTTTTATCTATCAGCTTTTCCACATGAACTTTCTCATAGCCTGCAAGCAAACAAAATTTAGAGGGAAACAATAATACAGAGTAAAGAAAAGATACACAGAACAAGAGATTCTTTTTACTCAAGACTTACCATTAACTAAATGACCAATAAGAGTCAATCTAACTAAAATGAAGACCAAGATTTAACAGTAAATTATGAATAAAAACATTCTAAAAACTTTTACTGAAGAAGGAAAATGATGCAAATAAGTTTAGTTTTTCCTATATTTAAGAAAATTCATGTTATAATTGTTACTCCATACTTCTTAGAATAAAAATGAATAAATGCTGACTTTCAAAAGTATATTATTGTATGATTTTCTGGCAGAATTATATTATTGTGCATTATAGCAACCCTTGGAACTCTGAAGCAAACATATAAAGTAATATTTGCAAAAATGATTAACTTTCCTGTACTGTTCCACTAAATCTTTCTTTTTTTCTTTTTAAATTTTTTGTTTTTTTTCTTTTCCACTAAATCTTTTGAAGTTCAAATAATACTACTCAAAATAGCCTATCATGTCATTATTCATGTAGAATTTTTCTTCTTCAATTATCACATGGTCTAACTGACACATCCATATTTCTAGTGGCTTTGTGATTTGAGCAGTCCTCCAACTTTACTTTCACTTACTTCTTGAAATTATGCATTTTTCTCCATATTTCAAAGACTGTTATCTTGTATTACCATGTGTTGATGCCATGGGTAGAGATTAATGTCAAGCAGTGAGGGATGCTTGATAGGATTAATGGTTAAGTGGTTGGTTTAGTGATCCCTTGATCCAATTGGCAGATAAGAAAGCTGAAGTTCAGTCTTTTACTACATTATTTGCATCCATCTTAAGTAAAAAACAAATCGAGTTAAAAAATATTGCTGTGATAATACTTTGTGTAACAAATTAAAACTGCACAAGCATAAAATAAAAATAAGGGTTCTTCCTTTCTTCTCTTCTCACTTTAGTTACCATATTCTACCATTAGTACTAGTTTGGTATATATCTTCTCAGACTTTTCAAAGAAAGTTTGAAAAATACAAGTTAGTAGAAAACTTCCTTCTAACATAAAGGTTATTGTCAGGAAAAATTTAGATGTGCTAAAAGAAGTAAAAGGCTATTTCATATGATTTCTCATTGTGATTCTTACTCACTCTTATTATTCCTCACATCTTTCAGCAACCTGTTTTGAAACACTTTTCCATGATTTGTAAGAAGAGGTATAATTCAGATCTCTGGAATACTGACATGGAGATTTACAAAAATCATTACAAATTATATGATTGCAGTAAGATATATTTTAATGATTCATCTTAAACTTTAATCTATTTTGTAGTCAAATAATATTGACATTTCTTGAATGGAAATATTTTCCACAATTGCAAACAGATCCATTCTTTGGTATTAAAGACATTTATTAGCTTAATTCTTCCATGTTACAATACTAAAAATATATAAAAATACTTTTCTTATTTTTATTCTACTATTGTTCTATTCCTTCCCTTGAATATTTTTCATTGCTCATATTATAAACCTAATATTAATCTGAGGGAAAAACAACTGGTAAACATACTAATGACTCAAGTGGTGTTTGAAGAGGTAATATCAGAATTTAGTTTCAAGTCAAGAGTGTCTTTGTATTAATTTATGGAATTTTTTAGGTTAAAGTACAATATTAAAATATTGAGAACTCCTCATAATGGCTCTATAAGTCAAGTTTCCTGGAAGACATATGGTATTTTTGTGGCTTACCATCAGTGGGCAATGTTTTCAGCAGCTGTCTATATTCTTTGTCTGAAAGCTAAGCCCCATGTTTTTTAGAATATTTTGTAGGTCATTAGAATCAATCTTGTCTCCCTAAAAAAACATGGAGCGTTCATGGCTAAAACATTAGAGAATAATGATTTCAAATTATATAAAAGTATATTTCTGATTTTAATACAAGAAAGAAAAGGAAAGACAATGTAAAATTTCCTGATAAAAAATGGTCAAATTGTAAGTTGGAAATAGAATTTGCCCCTTAATATTTATAAATAGGATAAGAATAATACCAGACAGCAAAGAAGAAAATCTGTTCACATAATTACTCACAGATAAGGATGGACAGTATAATAAAATACAGAATGAACAATATGACATATTTTTATTTTGTTAAAGCTATGTGATTAGCTGTTTGCAATGGACTTATTGGTTTGATCCTTTTAATGTTTCATCCTGCTTTTACTGTAACTTTCTAATTTGGGCTCTGTAAATATTATTAGTATTTTACTGGAAAAAAAGCATCAAAGAAAGATTTGATATCAAGAAATAGCCTTTTTGACAGCCTCTTTAACAAATGTTGCTGGGAAAAGTGGCTATCTGCTTGCAGAAAACTGAAACTAGATCCATGCCTGTTACCCTGTACTAGTATCAACTCAAAGTGGATTAAGGACCTTAATATCAAACCCAAAACTCTGCAGTTAGTACACAAAGAGCAGGGAATACCCTGGAAACAATAGGTATAGGCAAGGACTTCCTCAGTAGAACTCCAGCAACTAAGAGAAAGGATGGACAAATGGGGCTACATGAAATTAAAAAGCTCCTGCACAACAAAATAAATTGTCTCTAAATTGAAGAAACCACCCAAAAAGTGGGAGAAGATATTTGCTAGCTATATACCAGACAAAGGACTGATAAACAGAGTATAGAGGGAGCTCAAAAAACTAAACTCCACACACAAAAAAAATCAATGACCCAATAAAGAAGTGGGCAACTGAATGAAACAGAACTTTTTCTAAGGAAGAAATCCAAATGGCCAAAAAACATGAAAAAATGCTCACCATCCCTGGCCATAAGGAAATGGAAATCAAAACCACACTAAGATTCCACCTCACCTCTGTTAGAATGGTTATCATAAGACCACCACCAACAACAAATGTTGGCGAGGATGCGGGGAAAAAGGAACCCTCATACACTGCTGGTGGGAATGTAGCACTTTGGAAAACAATATGGAGGCTCCTTAAAAAACTAAACATAGATCTGCCATATGACCCAGCAATATCCCTCTTAGGGATATACCTGAAGGAATACAACTCAAGTTATTACAAAAGGACCTGCCTGCCCATGTTTACTGCAGCACGATTTACAACAGCCAAGCTATGGAAACAGCCAAGATGCCTCACAACCGAAGAATGGATCAAGAAAATGTGGTATTTATACACAACAGAATTTTACTCAGCCACAAAGAAGAATGAAATTTTGTCATTCTCAAGTAAATGCATGGAACTAGAGAACATCATCCTAAGCGAATTTAGCCAGACTCAGAGGCCACAAATGCATGTTCTCCCTCATTTGCAGATTATAGACCAAAAACAAATGCAGTAATATTGTTGGACGTGGGTCACACACTAAGGGGAGAACACGCACGGGGAGGAATAGGGAAAGGAAAGGAAACCTAATGCTTGAATGTGTTTGATGTGCTCACTGTGAGGAGAGAATAAAGTAATCTTAAATCGGCAGAGGCCACTATGGGAAGGGGAACAGGAAGTAGTGAAGAGGTGTGGTAGAGATGAACCAATGTGAGCTGCAATACAAGTGGATGCAAGCAACATTAGGAATCTCTCTGTATAGCTATCTTTATCTCAAACTAGCAAAAACGGTATGTCTTTTTTATTATCTCCTATTTTCTCTTTAACAAAATCAAAGAACAAGAGGGTGGAACAGGTTCTGCCTGGAAGTGGGGGTGGGGGTGACTTGTGGGTGTGGGGGGACTGGCACAAACAATGTATATATGTACAAATGATAAAATGAAAGGAGAAAAGAAAAAAAAGAAATAGTCATTTTGCTTAATTATAAACTCAGACATTAGATTAATCAGGAGATGTAAATATTTTATTAAAAGGAATATTGAAAGTATGTGAATTTATATTCACTAGTAGAATATCTGGCGAATACTGTCAAAAGTTTCAGTATAAATCATGATTTATTCTGAATCATCCATAATGAATTCTTACCAGTAAAAGCTTTCACTTCCTCTTCCAAAGTTCTCAGAGCCACTTTATTACCAGCTGTAACACAAAAACATAACTTGACGCTCATAAAATGATATGAAACAGCATAAGAATACTCTTCTTCCTCCTCCGGTTAAAACTTGTAGCAACAGCATGTACATTACTTGGCATTTTGCTAAGCACTTTAAATAGTAACCCAACATACATATTCAGGATATGCTGAAAGCATGAAGTAAAGAAACATTTATAGGGAAAACAGACTTATTTCAAAAAATGTATACTTGACTTCCTACCCCATAAAATAGAAAATCTTGATAATGGTAAGATGGGATTCAAAAGTGGCTACTTTCTAGAGGCCAGCTTTCTGGTCCTCAAAACTGAGAAGATTCTTCTATTGACCATGCAACTAGTGCCCAGAATACTGCATTCCCAACTTCTTCGTTACCATCACCATCTTTTCCAACCTTACCATCTTTTCTGTTAAAAAGGCACCTTATTTCTTTCTATCTAATGCTAACAGTATATGAAACCAAAAGCTCAAAAGTCAATGGTACCAGGGATGGTGGGGCAGACACTTGTAATCCCAGAATTTGGGAGTCAGAGGCAGGAGAATTGTGAGTTTGGGGCCAGCCTGGGTTAAATAGGGAGACTTTGTTTGTCTCAAAAACAAACAAAACCCCCCAAACTGGGTGTGGTGACTTGTGGTTGTTATCCTAGCCACTTGGGATGTGGACATTGGGCAAACTGCAGTTTGAGGCCATGCCAGGCAAAAATTCATGAGATCTCCCATCTCAACCAATAAAAGCTGAGTATGGTGGTATATGCCTGTCATCCAATCTATGCAGGAAGCATAAATAGAAGGATTGAAGTCCACGTGAGCCCAGACATAAATGTGAGACCATTTTCTTAAAAACGACTAAAGCAAAAAGGGCTTGGGGCATAGCTCAAGTAGTAGAGTGCCTGCCTAGCATGAGTGAGGCATTGAGTTCAAATTCCAGTACAGTCAAACAAACAAAGTTGATGGTACTTATGCTCACCACTGACTGGTAGGTTTTGTGTCAGATCTTCAAGTTCCTTATGGGCAACTTGAGTCCCATGCTGCCGAGAACGGTGTCCAGGTTTTTGATGTCAACCTTCCCCAACAAGAAAGAGACAGGTTTGCGAGGAAAAAAATTGGAGTCCAAAAACATTATTCCTAAGGTGTTTTGTCTTTCAAAACAAAAAACCTTTGAAAGTTTCAGAAAAACTATGGTTCTTAATGTAGCTTATATGTACATACATATTTTAAAGCTGTGCATTAAGATTCTAGAGGATGTGCTGAAACTCATTAATGAGTCTCACAAATGTGCATTAAGCCTAGCTTTAAAATGCTCCACATAGAAAAAAAATTCATTGTTATGAATCATGATTATGTTTTCAACATAAAGAACAAAAATTCATTGAATAAAATATATAAAGAATGTAGTACCATAAATGGAATAAAATAATAGGTTTTGGAAGAAATATACTTCTGTTTTATTCAACTTATCAAATATTTAATATTTATTTTATTCTGCAATTACATAACATATAGAATTCTATACTGATGAGTCTATATTTTGCTTTTGTCACTTAACAATATATTGTGGAAACCATGCATGTCAATATAAGTAACCAATAATACATCCACATTTTTATTGAACTGTGCAGAAGCATTAAGAAATGCATCAATGCTGGTTACATCTAAATTGATGTGATGCTCCACTAAGACAGCAAAAAAGGGACAAACTTTTAATGATTTGCTCTGAAAATTTGCCCAATTTACTCAGTCAAAAGAATTTTTGGACTGAATTGGAAAAGTTAATCTATGCACAAGCTGGCACATTGTCAATATGAAACAGCCACCTCATTCTTTTCCTATTCTGCTCTCTCATTTCTCCTTTTTCCATGTAACCATTACAGTTTTTTTTCAATCTCATATCTCCTTACTTAACCCATGGGTTTCTCTCTTCAATAAAGAGCAAATTTCGATATTTCTTAGTCTTGTAATCCCTGAACTCTCTTAGACATATCCCCTTGGATCCTTATTTGCCATTTTGAGCAAGCCCAGCTTTAGTGTGGTTTTGCTCCCAAAGGCTAGCATTTGTAGCCTTGGTTTACAAGGAAGTCCTGTGTTAACTAAGACTGCTTTGCTCACATATACAATAGAGAATACAAAGAAAGTATATCTGGTTTGGTCAATGACTGATGGCTGGGAAAGTATGAAAGTCCTTACTTCAGGGTGGGATTACTGAATGTGATAACAGAGATCAGTAGGATCAGTCTGAAGCTATCAGGGCTTTGGTTGAGATTGACTTTTACTTGGCCTCTTTCTCTTTCTGTTATGCTTTTCTCATTCCCCTACAAGTTTCCTTTGATCACACTCCAGTAATAATTCACTTGCACGTGAATTCTGGTTTCAGGTTCTGCTTCGGAGAACCAGAACTAGGACTGTGGGCTAGTAGTCCTAGGAAACAGGACCAACAAAGATTGCATTGATGTTGAGTGAAGTGATGATAGCTCATGACATACTGTATCATTAATATTGCTAACATATTCACTTGGTGTGGATTAACTGGAAAAGAATACAGGTGGAAAGGGATGCACTGGCTCAGGTGATAGCATCTAATATTTGAGAGCTATGTGGAGATTGTAATCCTAACTATCAAACTGCATGGCTGTTGTTGAGCAACTTGAGGCATGATATAAAGTTCAGAAGGTTCCAATGGCACTCTTTAAAGTGGCCCTCATCTCCTATTTGCTTAGGAGACAATGCTAAGCCAGGATCAGGATCTCTGAAGTTCTATTGAACATCAGACAAAGCTGAATGTTCAGTGTCAGCAAATCTTCTACACCAAAGTCATGACTATGATAGTGGGTATGACCCTAAGACTTGAGGTGGGAACGTTTCAACTTATGTACTTGCTGCTTTGGTAAAAGCAGCAATCCATAGACCCTCTAATAGTTATCTGGTTGGTGGGTCTTCAGGTCTTACATAATATACCCATTCTAGCATACCCAGTTTCTTTAAACTTTTTCTTCTCTCCTCAAATTCATCCAAATTAACTCTGGAATACCCAAATAATTTAATGTGGAACATGGTTTTCTAAACTGTTAGGAACCATTCCAGCAGTACATTTGTCAGGGCATTTAAACTGAATTAAAGGAGCATGTCCCTATATCAATAACACTTCCTATCTAGCCTATATTCTGTACTTCACTCTGATTCAGAATCCTCAAGGTCCTCTTTCAGTCATATTCTCCCAGTTCTCCTCAGTACATATTGGCCAGCTATTGCAGCTCCTTCCATAAATAATTCTTTTCCTCTCTTAGCAGTTTGACCACTTTTCCAGTTAGTTGATGCTGAAACTTGAGTCTATTTATAGGTCTACAATACAGGAAGAGAAATGGAGAAAGGAAAGTATTACCTTTCAAAGCACTTGATTTAAATGAGGTGTCTCCATAGTTTTGGGGAAAGTAACAAAAGTACCTACCGTCTTGTAAGTAGAGTAGCCCACTTTATGAACTAGAAATTCAGGAAAATTGGGGGCCAAACTACATGAATTTTAAATAATGTTTCATATTATCTTTATTGCAATAACCAAGAGAAAACATTTATGGTATTTTTTTTTTACCAAGACATAGTACTAAACTTTTATCACCAAAACTCTAACATTATTACAAAGTCCAACTTAGACAAACATTCACAAAAAGGAGTAAAACAGAATTGATATGGTGAACAGGGTCAATGGTAAAATTTAATGACTGTTCCAAAAAAGAGTCCCAGGTCTATAGTAACTAGGTGCTAACCTGTAGTATCTTTCACTCTTTCCATCACATTAGGCAGATCAACATTCCTGTTTGCTATAAGTGAATGTCCAATAGAAGCACATAATCAATGGCATGAACTCAGAAAACACATAAATTACTCATGTAGTATGATGAAGTCCAACTAAATTTTGCTCACATCATAATTTTAATTGACACTTTTTAAACTTTTTGGATTTTAGGGATTTGTATCATATTAATGAGATCTATCAGAGACCACAGACTCTGGACAAGAGAAAGTATACTTAACCCAAGCTTTTGAAAGCCCTTCTGTCCTATAAATGTAGATGAAGATTCTCTTGCTGTTGTTCAAATATTCTGGTACTGCTAAAGAGGCCCTAATTTAGCCGGGAGCATTCAATAAAAACACCATAGAGGGTTAATATCTGAGATAAGTGAAAGAAATAGTAGGAGTCAGTCAGACTGCTATGATAAAGATTGAAATAGTGGTTCTCAGAGTGTGGTTCCTGGATCAGTTATTTTAGTATTAGTTGGAAACATGTCAAGAGTGCAAATTATAGGGCCTTATCTCATGAGTACTGAATTAGAAACTCTGGAGATGAGGCTTAGCAATTTGTAGGTTAACAAGGCCTCTGGGTGGTTCTGATGTACACTGCAGGTTAAGAAAAATGAAAGCTTAGGGACAGCAGGCTATGTATGAATAATGTCACATGGTTGGATCATAAAATGTGAGGTGAGGGGAAGACTATCAGGCCAGAAAGGTAGTTTGAAATAGAATCTTGTAAACCATTACAACAGCATTAATGCTCATCCTTTGGGTTGTAGGAATAAATAGAGTTCTAAGGGATGAGTGCTATGATCAGAATTTAATTTGACGAATTATTTAACCAGCTGATTAGAGAATAAATTTGGAGATAATAATGCAGGACAAGAGACTAACTAAGGCTGGTGCAGTGGCTCAAATGGTAGAGTGCCTGCCTAGCAAGCATGAAACCCTGAGTTCAAACTTAAGTGCCACAAAATAAATAAATAAATAAATAAATAAATAAGAGACTAAGCTGTGGCTGTAATCTCCAAGCCAGAGATGAAAAAGGTCTGAATGTAAGCAATAAATTCTCATTTTGAAGGGCACAGGTGAATCTGAAACATATTTAGGGTTCAAAAATTACTATGATTCAAATGGGGAATAAAGGACCTAAGGAAAAGAAATATAAGTGAGGTGATAAAGATAAGTGACTGGGTTGATGCTATTGTGGCATGAAATGTGGAAGTAGAATTTATTGAGGAAGAAGAACATTTGCTTTGGCGCACTGAAAAATTCTAAGGAAAAACCTGAATACAGATGTCTAATGTGAGAAGTTGGGCCTAAGATTCATTCAAAGTCAAGCTGTCCTTTCTTCATGAATTCTGATCTCCATCGGGTCTCTACTATTAATTTGCCCTGAGTCTGCCACATCGAGTTGTCGGGCTGGACAGTATAGACTTAGTGTATTATCACTTACTCACTGTCTGACATAGAGCCAGATTTTTTTTTTACCTGTGTTCCAGTAAAACTTTATTTATAAAAAAAAACTACGGGGGCAAGGTGGGGGAATAGAGGCACCCACCCAACACTTGACTTCTATTTCAAGGGATAGAACCAAAGTAGCAAGTAAGTAGCTACATGTGGAGGTGAGTAGCCAGGGATGAACAATGATAATCAATAGCAGAAAGACTGAGACCTGTGGGAATTTAGGGATAATAATATAGTAAGAGATGCAGAGTCCCCAACACCTGCTTTTGGGCATCCACAGCAGAGGAGGGGGAGTCCTCCCTCACAGGGATAAAGGTGAAGAAGAGAGAGACCCAGCATGGCACAGAAACCAGCACCTTGCAGACATACAGCGTAAATAAGCAACCTGTAGTCTAATTAGCAGGCTATATCTCCTAGTGAGATCTCAGAGTGATATCTCCAGGAGTTATTGAGAGGGTCCTATTTTCTGAGATTTTACTGCTCTAGGGATCAAAAATCTTGGTATATTCACTTCTCTGGAACCCCATGCGTACCGCATTATGTTTCAGACTCCCTGCTCCATGGTGTTCACCTTAAGACTTGACCACAAAAGGTAGTCTTGGCTTGGGGGAATGACTTACACAAATCTGGGATTTCTATGCTGTGGGGAGTGTGGGCTGTGAGGTGGAAGGGAACAGAAGATACCACCCTGTAGAATCAACAGATGGGTAGGATGCCCTCTGGGACCTGGGTGTGGGGGGCAGGGGAGTGGTGAGACTGGTTTGCGAGTGTTGACATACAGGGGCCAGGACTAAGGTCACCAGAATCAAAGGTGGTAGATTGTGTGGCTACCACATCCCCCTTCTTCCCTCCCTTTCAGAGACATCCCTCCATTCAAAGACCACATAAAACAGTCTAAACACATACAAGAAAACTGAAGTAACTTCCTGTATTTATCAGCTCACAATGGAATAAAACTAGAAATCAACAGCAAGAGAAACTACAGAAAATATTCAAACACATAGAAACTGAACAATTCACTTTTGAATGACCAGCAGGTCATTAAAGGGATAAAGTGGGAAATAAAAAAAATCCTAGAATAAAATGAAAATGAAAGCACAGCTTACCAGAACCTGTGGGACACAGGAAAGGCAGTGCTAAGAGGAAAGTTTATAGTTATGAATGCCTACATTAAAAAATCAGACCCCAGTACCACACACACACACACACATACACACACACAAAACAAAACACATGATTTGAAGTGGAACTTTCCTTGATTGCTGGAGTGGCTAAACTCAGAGTGCCAGCCTACCAGATAGGAGGTCCAGAGTTTGAACCACATGACCACATAAACAAACAGGTGGACACCAGTGGCTCACAACTGTAATTCTAGCTACTCAGGAGGTAGAGATCAGGAGAATTGTGGTTGGAAGCCAGCCAGGGCAAACAGTTCATGAGATTCTATCAAACCCTTCACAAAAACAGAGTTGGTGGAATGGCTCAATGTGAAAGCCCTGAGTTCAAGCCCCAGTACTGCAAAAAAAAAAAAAAAAAATCAGACAGCCCAAATAACCCAAACAGCACCCCATGGTGTAGAAAAAGCCCAATCCTAAAGCACTAGACAGAAAAAAATTAGGTCAGAAAATAATGAAATGGAAACTAAAAGAACAACACAACCATTAAATGAAACAAAGAGTTTGTTCTTTGAAAACATAAACAAGATTGACAAACCCTTACCCAAATATGCCAAAAGATTGAGAGAGAATGCCCAACTTAACAGAATTAAAAAAAACAAAAAGGGTACACCATAACAAATCCCAATGAAATTCAGAGGATCAGCAGGGAATATTTTAAAAAATTATACTTTATAATTCACAACGTTGCTCGTCTTTCAATTTAGAATGTAAAACAATTCATGATCTAAATCACTCAGTTAAGGAAGAAATAGGACCAATTCCTTGATTTGAACTGGTTAAAGCCATGCTCCCATCCCATACTCTCACTTGTATTCTGTCACACCACAGCCTTTGTTACACTGCAGATAATCAATCACCTGTCTACCTGCCAGTTGCCCAGACTATCAGCAGGTTAAGGCAGGGACCACACCTTATTGTTATATTCATCCCTGGCAGAGAGCCTGAAATTTACTAAGTATTTAACAAGTGTTTGTTGCATAAATAAGTAACATTTTGTATACATTCTTAGTCTTTCTCTCTCCCTTCTCTCTGTCTCCCTTCTACTCTCCCTGTCTCTCTCCTTTGGTACAGGGCCTTGCTATGTACTCCAGGCTGGCCTTGAACTCCTGGGCTCAAGAAGTCCTCCTACCTCACCCTCTCCAGTAGCTCCGCCATCCATCTACAGCAACTCTTTCCCACAAACCAAATAATACAAATGTTTGTAGATTCTCAGTGGACACTACACTATAGATCATGTCCACATCTGGCTCAATTCCCTCATTTTACAGATAAACTAAGATACACTGGTTCATAGTTCATTGCCTTTTTTATAAGAGCAAAGACTGGCAAACTTTTTATTAGACTCAAAGACTGTCTCAGAGCCAAAGTTTAAAAAACATTAAGTAACTTTTAAACATATACTTTATGAGGTAAAACAGCTGTTTTGAACACTTGTTCAAAACTTTTGAACCTTTACAAATTAAGCAGCCAACCTAAATCATTTCAAAGGACAGACCTGAGCTGTTATTTTCATCTGTAATGATTTGGCCTCTCTCATTCTGAGAAGAAGCTGCCAGGATTCCAAAAATGATGACCATAGCCTGAAGCATGCCAACTTTAACGCACCTAGGGAACAAATGCTAGCAGTCTGGGAGGAGGCAACAAGGTGTTTGTGAGACTGCAGCTAGTTTGCTATTATAGAGTGGCCACTCCTGCTTTGTGGATATTCTCAATAGTAGAACAAGTAGTTCAACAGGGATAAAGCTTAGATTTTCCTGTTTTTCTTTCTTAGTGTTTGTAGAACAATTTTCACCTTGAGTCTAAAATGTCCTTCAGGCCATTCAACATTATAGAATGTTTTTTTGAGATAGGATCTTGCTATGTAACCCAGCCTGGCCAAGAAATCAAGAATCGTCTCCTTCCAACTCCTGAGTGCTGAGATTAGAGAAGTGACCCACCATCCAGCCCAGTGAACACCACAGAATTTTTGAGCTAAAAGAAAATAAAACCCATACTTCTTGTTGAAGGTATATGGAATCAGGCTAGATCAATGTATTTTCTTTATGAATATTTTTCACAATATAGTTTAACATAGTCACCATCTTTTCCTGTACCTCAAAGGTTGCCACTGCCCAGAGATGAGCCAAAACTTCAGAGGTATACACTACTTGATAAGTAATGGTCTGAGTGACTGGGGAGAGAGGTGTCCTGTGGCAAGGTTTTAGGAATTTTTTTTGTTTTTCCATTTAGAAGAAACTCAGAGTTGAGGGTATAGCTGAAGTGGCAGAGTGCCTGCCTAGCAAGTGCAAGGTCCTGAGTTCAAACTCTACAACCACCAAAATAATAATAATAATCATAGAAGAAACTGACACTGAGAAAGCCCATCCACGCCATTTGCTTCCTGGAGCATTCGGTGTTAAACTTGGCTGTTTGCATGTAGCTAGCTCTACATTGCAAACATTTAAGCAGTTAGGAACTCTGCACATGAGAAGGAACCACTGGGGGCCATGACAGTGCTAATTTGAGTGTTACTTGCCAGATGTCTTCATTTCCTATGCCAAAGAGCAGCTAAGGAAAGCACAACATGTCATATATAAGTCACAGAAGCCTCTTGCCTGTAGTACCTTAGTTTCCTCATTTGTAAAATGAAATGGATCAAGACACACTCTTTACAGAATTTGTACAGGGCTTACACCCAACTAAACAGTATGGTACAAGGTTTTTAACACATAAATAAGCATATGTTTCAAACATATATTTATCTTCTATTCCACTTACAACTGGTATAAAAGTTGCATTCTATGCCATGCCTAAAATGTTCCCAACTTCAGTTCTAGGAGCAAATTGTCATGAAGATTTCTACAAAAAAAGACACAAGCCAAAGAAGGCGAGGATAAAAACATTCTTTCAGAACATACATCATTTGGCAATGATTCTCACTTATACTTGATGAATTATAATGTCAATACTTTCCCCATATAATAAAGAAATCTAGCTGTGGACGATACTGGCTTATGACTTATACTTTGAGATTTACTAATGCAGTGCATTAGATACAAAACAGTGAATGATTTCTTGTGTCAATTGGTTTTTTATTTCTCTACAACAGGGTTTCACATTTCAGTGCTATTGACATTTTGGGCTGGACAATTCAAAATCTCTGGAGTCTGCCCACTAGGTGCCAATAGCATACCCAAAGCTGCCAAGTGTCACCTGGGTATAAAGTCACCCAGGATGATGGAGAAGCACTGCTCTGGAATGTTTCACTCTGATCTGTAATGATTCTCACTCTCATCTTTGCTGCAGACTAAAAGAACCTGCTAAATAATTTTGGTAACTTTCTAGTAGCAAAATTCTAATTATCTTTCAAAATGAGTAGCAAGATTCCAGTCATAATATTTATAACTTACATAAACTTCAAAAAAGGTAGTGTTTCAAATGTCCTTCTTTCAATATACTGTATTTTATTGCTGGATAAATCTCTAGGAAAAGTGAAATATTGCACTGATTAGCTATTTGATATCAAATTAATATGAATACATAGAATTTAGAATTGCTTTTTTTTTTTTTTGCCAAACCTGGGTTTAAACTCAGGGATTCCTGCTTACAAGGTAAGTGGGCTACTGCTTAAGCCGCACTCCCAGCTCTCCATTACTTCTTAATAGTTATTTGTATATCCATTTCCTTCCAAACATAAACTCCTTGAAAGCATGAACTAGGTCTTGCTCCTCTGCATTGCCCAGCATGTTTGAGACTAACACAAATATTTAAGCAAACACAAATATTTATAAAGTCAATGACTAGCTGGGAAGTGAGTAGAAGAAAAATGACTACTTAGAAGGAATGCAGTTTATTTTTTTCTGACTGACCTCTTCAGCACCTCTGCTGAATTATGGTTTGAGGTTATACACTTGCTTCTCTGGGAGCCCATGAGTTCTTAGAGGGGAGAAATCCTGTCTTACTCATCTTTATGCCTTCGATACCAGGCACCACAGTCCATGGCATATTCTATTTTAGCTCTTTTCTATTGGCACAAATTGAAAAAGATGAAGCAGAATACATATGCTAATGTGATATAATTAGCTTACAAAGTACTTCAAAGCAGAACAAAGGTCAACTCCATCAAGCAATAATCTCATTTGGTTTTCTCCAAACTGTGTTAGTAGGATTTGGGAGCCCAGATGGCAGGGGAGCCCCAACAGACCAATACAGAAGTGGTTGGTGCCTTAGAGCCTATAAGGGTTGATAATTCAAAGGACTATATTTGTGCCATGTGAGGCTCTTTATACCTGCTTCCAAAAGTCTTTTTTTGAAAGGAGGATTATTTGAAAAAAGCTCATTAGATTAGTAAGCCAATTAATATAAGCATTAATGAGCTCAATGAAGTACACACAACTGCACCTCATGGGAGAAGGATAAAAACCAAGCTTTCAAGACAAAGAACATAGTACTTTGTTATCTCTGAATGGACAGAAATACTGTGCAAGTATTCTCTCCTTGTCAACAAAAGCTGTTGAGATTTTTATTTTGTAATTAGTGAAGAGTTAGGGCAGCCAGGTGTGGTGCTATACACCTGTAATCCTGACTTCTTGGAATCTGAGGTTTGAGGCCAGACTGTGGACTGAATTCAATCCATGGGCCATAGACTAATAAGAACACTTATAAACCAAGGTTCATAGAAGTGTCATAATTAGTTTTTTTACAACTGTATCTTTTTGTTGTTGTTGTTGGTACTGGGGTTTCAACTCAGGTTTTTATGCTTGCAAAATATGTGCTCTACTGCTTGAGCCACACCTCCATCCTACATCTGTATTTTGTCTATACCATTTTTAAAAATCTGAAAATGTAGAGAAAGCATTTAATGCCAAAGATGGAATGAGACCCACAAGTGCACAATTTTATTGCTGGCAGAGGTTTTAGAAATTATCTAATTCGAACCCTTTATACATTTCATAGGTAGTTACTCACAAATAAATATGTTCAACTGACTAACTTACAAATACTCAAGGGACAGCAGGCCCTCAAATAAATCCTTATGTAATTCAGTCAGGTGATTTTCACTGAGAATCTGGAAGATGAAAGGTTATCTCTGGATCAAAATTCATCAAAAAGATGGAGAGTATCGAGTGATGAAAGGTATGGGGAAATGAGTGCCGTCATATTCTGTTGCCTGGAGTGTAAGTTGACACCACTTTTTGAAGGGCATTTAAAATTCCCTATCTACACTAGTCTTCACCTTAACCATCCCATGCCTAGATCCCTATTGTACAGCAATACTTGTCCATGCTCATAAAGAAGTGTGTACGGGGTTGTTCACTGTAGCTATGAGTGCAACAAAAGAACCTGACAGCTCTAAAAGGAATAAGGAATTATGAAATCAACCATGATGTGTCCATAGTATGGAATATTATGCAGGTGTTTAAATTAATAGGGAAACTTCTATGTATAAGGAAGGAAAGAAATATGATATACAGTAAAGAGAAAGAATCAAGTTGCAGGATGTTACTATTTATATGAAAAAAGAATGAAAATCACACAAAATTATTGCTGTATGTAAATATGTATATATGCATGGGAAAAGATCTGGAAGAATAGGTAGCAAGAGTAGTCATTACTTCAATGGTGGGGGATTAGGGCAATAGGAGGGTTTTCACTATAAGTGTTATTTCACTTTTTTCCATTAGGTCTGTAATCGTGTATTACTTGTATAATGGAAATCTATTTAAATTGACTCTTTTTTATTTCAAAGAGGGCCATGGAACTTTAATTTTTCATTTTGGATACATGTATGGCAAATACTCTACCACTAAGCTACATCCCCTTCTCCTATAAAAGTTAATGTTTAAAATAATCATAGAATTTCAATCAATAGAAGTCGATCTAGGATGTGGAGGGGAAATACCTTTTTTCAGAGATACTGACTCCTAAAGTCTGATGCTCTTTTAGCATTTCATATATAATGAAATGTTAAAATCCCTTTCTTTCTATCTAGACAAAGACATGTTCTGGACATAACTGAAGGACTGAACAATATTATTAATAGCTAATACACACACATTAGGTATTCAGATAAGTATTGTATGTATCCATTCATCTAAACCACATAACAATGCTATAAAATGGAAAATTCCATAAATCCCATTATACAAATGAGGAAATCGAGTTGCAGAGCTAAATAATTTGCTCAGGCTTGCAAAATAAATAAATGAAAGACTTGGCTTCAAACCCAGGCAGTCTGGTTCCAGATGTATTCTTAATCACTTTGTTGTATCCTGACTCCTCACTAATGAAACAAGTTGTAAAGAGGTGAAACAAAACCGGGAGAGCAAAGATTCAGCAATGATATGAAGCAGCTGAATAAAAATGGATATGGAAAAAAAGAGAAAGGGCAATTACGAATTAAAGAACAGAGAAGGGAACCACAGTAAGAAGGAGAATGCTGACAGGGAAAAGTTGATAAGCGAAAGGTAAAAGCAGACAGTCCCTGTGGGTTGGGGAGATAAGGAAGGCCCAGGAAGACCTTGAGGAAAAGGCTGCCATGCAGGCAAAGTGCAAGAGCAAAGGGAGGAAAGGTGGATCTTACAGGGGGGTAAGGACCATCTTGTAGATGCTGGGCTTCGGCACAGGCACTCGATGGAGCTTCTGCATTGGGCTGAGATCAACACACAATAGTGACTCATCTCGACAGGTACAGAGCTCAGGTATATTGGTATACGGGATGGCATTCAGTTCTGTTTGCACACTTAGAGCATTTTCCATGGTAGGATTTACAGAATATGGAGGAGTGGTAAGTTTCAGACCAAGTTGAACCTGGTCTGAATGTGGAGGTGTCAACTCAGGGTGCTGTGGAGGAGGAGCTGTAGTTCTCTTCCAGGCTGCCCATTCTGTAGTTGGCGACATTTGATGCTGAGCCTGATCCTGCTCTTGGATTGGAATCTCAACTGAAGATTGAGAGCAGGACTCTGTCAGCTCTTGGACCTGATTCTGGTTCCACTTGGAAACCTGGGTCACCTGGATTAAAAGAAGCCTTGTGACCCAGAAAAGAAGCAGGTACATAATAAGTGATAGGAACATTTCAAGGGGATTGCCACTGAGTTAGGGAGCCAAAGTATTATAATGGCCTCTTAAGTAGCACGAGGAAGACAAAGCATTCTAGCAGCCTCTTTCTTAGTTTGCCTTGGCAATGCCCACCCCTCTCCCTTCCCACACATTTATGACAGTTTTGTTTGGAAAGCAGAAACCTTTATTGGGCTCCCAATTGGGCTCTGTGCCCTCTTGTGACAGGGCCAAAACTCCATTCCCCTAGAGGCCACAACCACTTTCTGCAGAGCTCTGCTCCCACAGCAAGGCAGAGTTGGGATACAAACCTGGGGGTTCAGGGACGTCAGCAGCCCACTGGCACAGGAGCGGCAGGGCGGGGTCTCTGGGGATATTCCCAGGGTTAGTCCAGTTCTGGCAGCCTGAGCGATTCATCTTCCAAGATGACACCCAGAGATACTCTTACTCCCTTTGGTGGTACTGCTTCTAAGAAAAGCAGCTCACCTGTGAAATCAGGGCCAGTTAGGGTAAAGGTGAGAGAGTGCGATTTACAGTTATTTATTCCACAACGCTGCCATTTCCTCTAAACTCCTAGTTCTGTGGTTCTTGGACCACCACTCCCTTAGTTGGTGCTAACAGAGAATCAGGGTTGACTCCAAAAGCTCTGCAGGAGGGCTCCTGGGCCTGACACAGAGGGTTAGAATCTGAGATGGCCCCTTACATTGGCTTGGGGAAGCATCCCCATCCCACCTTGGCTCAACACAGCGAGAATCTAGCTGTGACACCACCCCGTGTGCACATGTGGACAAGACACTGACTTCCTTCAGAGCCTTTTCTACAATAATCTTTTTTACTGTATGTTTACATGATAGGTTGGCCTAGCATGTAAAGTCCCAGAACAGGCTTCATCCTATTTATTCCCCTCGCCTTGCACAGGGCTGGATACATACTGATGGTTTCAAAATGGAACTGATTCCAAAAGTCACCTCATTTAAGGATGGATCTGTTATAATCAGATTTCTGCAATCAGTGCTGACTTCTTTCTCATTTCACAGGAAGCCAGGTCTCCTAATGTGTGAAGTGTTCTTGACTGGTTTCATTTAAACTGAACTAAAATAATTATTTTACATAAAAAAAAGCCTCAAATACTTTTTCAGAAGGCAACTGCTCTCTCTCTACCATTTCAAGACAAAACACTTCACAACTTTGGGGTAAGTTAGATGATCAAAAATCCCCAAATTAAGTTCCCACTGGCATGAAACACACTTTTTGCCCCTTCACTTTTAAAACATAGTAAGTAATGTCTATTTCCTTCTAGAAATCACTTTGGCAACTTAACCCCTGATTAAGGACGTTCATATAATTGATTTATAGAAAAGTTCTTTGGAAGGCAAAATATTCTCCTCGAGACATGGGGAGATGCTGAGATTTAGGTAGTATATCATAGCTGAAAGGCATAATGGTTTTCATAGCTGTAACATAATGGCACAAGGCTGAAGTTCTTAATTTGTTCCCAATCCTTGGGATCCTGTTTGGGAAGAGTTCTAAAAAGATCTATATTCAAGCATCTTGGCCTCTTGAACCTCTGCAGAGGGAGCCTAGCTCCTCTCTTGGGTCCACAACTATAGTAGTACTCACAGGCCTCAGTCCTGCTCTCCATACTTCAAACAAGGGTTCAGAGTCAAGACTGGACTTTAGAAAAAGCCCCAGAAATCCCCTGTATTCAATTCATTTTCAGAATTTCCCATTTTTCTAAATGATACATGTGCAAGTCCTCCAAATCCTGTTGGCTGTTTTCAATCATGACTACACTGGCTATGGAACTTTTGAGGTTTCCTCCCCACATACTTGAATTAACTTGTGTAGTTCTTCACTTCTGGCATCTATTGTCCCTTCACTGGGTCTGTATTCCACAACTCTTTTACCACTTTCTGAAATAAAGTTCATAAAGATCAATCAGAATTTCTTTTGTTCTAAACTTCCTGCATATTATGGTAAAACCTAATAATATGAGTCATTCTTTCTACATTTAAAATTTTTCTGCTATGTTTTTGTTGTGAGACAGAGTCAATTGTGTAGCTCAGGCTGATTTTGAACTCACAATGCTCTTGCCTCAGCCTCCCCATGCTGACATTACAGACCTACATCACCATGCCTGGCACGAGACAGTCTTTGGATTTCAAGAAGCAAATAGGGAAAATATTTTCCTAAAAATGTCCTAATCTTACACTACAATTTCTAACATAACCATTTGCTTAAAAACACATATGAAATATCAAATGTGTTTGCTTCAAAGAACTTTGTAATTTTAGGGACAGGAACTAAAAATAATGACAGGAGTTTGGATTCAAAAATGTTCAGAGGATTGAATAGTAAGACATGGAGGGTAGTCAAGTGAGTTCAAACCTGTTAGAGAGACCACTGGACTAGTAGACACCTCACATTAGAAACAAGGCAATTGTGTACTCCCTACCAACCAAAACTCCACTGGATACAATGAGCACAGCTCTAGAGAAAGCATTAGAAACTTTTATTGGCAGACACTGCACCATGTACTTACACACAATACAACTTCCTCAAAGCAAACTAAGAGCATTAGGCTTTTTATCTACGGAGACAATATTTGCAGTCATTTTTCTCACAAATGTCACAAGGAACATATGAGACCATTGTTATTGAAAGAATTTAGTGAATGAAAGCATAATATGGAGGGTTTTAGATATCCACATTTTCACCCATTTCCCTTTTCACAGTGAGTTTATTTTCTCATTGAAACTGAAGTCCTTCAAAGACAATCAGGAAAGTCTTACCTAAAACCACAATGGTCAGTTTCTGGAAGGCATCTGACAAAGCCCTCTGAATAGTCAGCTTCTGTGCTGTTTTCCTTTTCATAAGGAATGATGAGCATCCTGTATCCAACCTACAGACAGATTTACTACATCTCTATGAGTGAAAACAGATCTATGTAAAAAATAAAAAATACACCCATTATTCTCAAATCATTATCCTTGTGATTAAAAGTAGACAGAGCTCACAGTTTAGCTACATGGCTCTGTTATAGGTATATCCGGTTAGGCTCTATTTCCACTGCCTCAATCTATTCTAGAAGGTTCTGATGTACTGGAAGTGTGATCTAAGCAGGGAACTTGGCACAAGTCACATCACCCACAGATTTCAATTGACAAGTGGAAGCTCTGCCCCCTACAGACCCTTGCCTTCTTGCATCAAACACAGAGAGAGGTTTGGTGGGAAAACAAATGCTCTGCTCCTACCTGTGCATTAGCCACAGGAGCCTGCTCTGCTGATTCACTAGCAGTCGTGCCTCTGACCTAAAACCCTAAAGCTCAAGGGCCATGGATTCTAGGAAAAACTCAGTATTGATAAGAGAACCATTTCTAGTTATCCACGCTTGACTCTTTCTGCTCAAGCCCTTTCATGAGTGGGCAAAGAATTGAACATTTACACAAGAGTTTATGGAAATCTTTAGACGGTGAATTTGCTGATGTAACTGAAGACTACAAAGAGATCTGTATTTGAACGAATATTTTAGCATAAAGCAAGTTCTTAACCAAAAACTAGAAAAACACTATTTCCTTTGTCCTCCAAAGCTTCTTGGCAGGAAGTCTGCTCTCAAATTTTAAATTGAAACACTCTGTCAGGTGTCACCTAAAGGGAAAACCTATGATGTAAGACACAGAAACTCTGCCCAGAACTCTAGTAGTTTGGCAAGAGAAGTGCCTGAGAGGTACCTAAAAAGTAAGTTTTAAGGGCTGGAGGTGTGAATCGAATGTTAAAAAGTACGTTTTAGAAAGAAAGGAAAAAGAGAGCTCTTT